CAAAAACCTCATGAAATTGCACAAAATCGCATTTTTGCGTTGTTTTTTGATTATAAAAAACGTTTTATCAGACAAATTCAAAATTCATTCATAGAAAATGTAGAGAAAATAATTGCGGTTTTTTTGAGCTATCGAACTCCTAGAAATGTCAAAAACTGAAAGAGGAGATAGATTTTTTCTGTAAAAAACTTTCAAAAATGACCATTTTTGGCATGTTTTCTTCCGGAAAACGACCATACATGAATCTATAACCACTAATTATTTTTTAAGAATCATTTGAATCATATTGGAACTCCACAAAATCAGATAAAAAATTCTGAAATTATGGTTTTAGACCTGCAATTGTGATCGCGCCAAACTTTTTTTCTGTAGATCAAAAATTAATTTGCAGTTCGGAATTGTTCTGTGGGAGAACGTGTTATGGCGAATTTGATTTTCTAGGCCACCACTTCAAAATAATGGTCATGTCAGGCTATTTTTAGGCCAAAACAGTTGGTGGTCTAGAATACTCAGTTGGCAAAAGTTAGGCCACCGCTTCAAAATGACCTAGACAACACACCAGGGTCATGTCAGGCTATTTTTAGGCCAAAACAGGTGGTGGCCTAGAATACTCAGTTGGCAAAAGTTCGGCCACCCCTTCAAAATGACCTAGAAACTACACCAGCTGCATGTCGGCTATTTTTAGGTCATTTTGAAGTGGTGGTCTAGAAAACCAAACTTGCGAAAGTTAGACCACCGCTTCAAAATGCCCTAGAAATTACAACGAATGAATTCTAGGTCATTTTTAGGCCAAAACAGTTGGTGGCCTAGAAAACTCAGTAGGCAAAAGTTAGGCCACCACTTCAGAATGACCTAGAGAACACACCAGGGTCATGTCAGGCTATTTTTAGGCCATTTTGAAGTGGTGGCCTAGGAAACCAAACTTGCAAAAGTTAGACCACCATTTCAAAATGAAATGGAAAACCAAAAAAGCCACTCACATTTTCATAGGAACATTCCTATGCGGTCTATCCATCGATGCACTTCCATTTATCGATTTCCGGCTTGTCGTTTTGGGACTTCCAAAAACCTTGATCCCTTCATGCACCTCCTGATACTGTACTTTTTTGACAGCCCGTCCGCTGGCAGTTCGTATGGTATTCTGACTGCTTGAATGGGGGTCTTCCGACGATGATTGCTCATCCTGAATGCTCATCAATGAGACGTCGTTGGAGGGAATCTCCAGATGCTGTTCTTTAGCCGCCGCCTCTCGTTTCGCCTCGTTCTCCAATTTCCGTTGTTGAGCTCTACATGGAGTACACTTCCAATCCGATGGAGCCTCTTTCAGCTTGGCACACTTCAAATGATAACAAGAATCACACTCGGAGCATAGAATCAAATCATGAGCCGACGCCTTCTTTCGACAACTCTTACATTTCCCTTGAAGACGTGATTTGTCCCATTTGATTGAGGATTCGAATGTGGTTATGAAGAGGGAGAGAGCGGAGTGCGATTCGCATTGCAGGAGAGCTTTTTGCCAACGGATGAAGAGTTCGGAGGGTTTGAGACGACCGTCTGGAAATATAGAGATTTTAGAACTGGGGGAGTGAAGATCAGGGAAAACGGAAATTCCGATTATCAGAATTTTGGCGTTTTTGAGATTCGGAAACTCAGCTAAATCAAAATTTTGAAAAATCATAGTTTTAGAATTTGAGAAAATTAAAAGTTCAGAATTCTAGATACCGTAAAACCTGTATTAGATGGGCCGGCCCTTCTATTGTTCCAAGGTACCTCCGGAGGGCCCTTCTATTACAGGGGCCCTTCTATTTTTCCGTCCAGTTTTTTTTCCGAAATTTCGCATAGATTTTGGAGTTATTTTTCACTGATAAAGTACGGAAATTTTCTGATTTCAAAACACATTTTGAGAAGGGGCGTCCTTTTTCACAGAGGGCCCTTCTATTACAGGGGGGCATTCTATTTTCCGAGCTTCGCTCGCAGCGCCCTTCCATTAGAGGGGCCCTTCTATTAAAGGGACCCTTCTAATACAGGTTTTACGGTATTCTGGAATCTCAGAAATTCAAAATTCCAAAAAAGCGAGAAACTTCAAAAGTGTTGGAGATCAAAAATTCAAAAGTTAGAAATTTTGTGAATCGGAAAATCAAAAATTAAGATTTTTCAGGAAATTCATAAACTCAACATTTTCAATATTCAAAGTTTCAAAAAATCGAAAATTTGAAAAACTAAGAAGTTGAAAAAGTAAAAAATTTGGAAAAGCCCGAGATTCGAAAATTCTGAAAATCGAAAATTCAGAATTTTTGTGGAATTTCCGAAAAATTACGTATTTCAAAATTCGGGAATAAAAAATTGAGAATTCGGAAATTTCGAAATTACAGAAAGTTACAAATTTCAGTAAACTGGAAATTTGACAATCTAGAATTTTCAGAATTCCATAAAAAAAAAACTTCCAAAAAAGGAGAAATTTGAAAATCTAAATTCTGGAATTATCGATTCATGAATTTTCGAATTTCTAAAATTTTTTTAAAAATCTGAAATCCAAATTTCTGAAAATCCCAAAAAAAAAGAGAAATCATTCACGCTCATCCTTATTCGGGCTCAAGTACGGTGGCTTGATGAATTTCATCTGAATACTTCGAATAATCGAAAAGAATCCGATGGCCAACATTTTGGAGTCCGACATCTCCTCAGACGTCGTCAAGTCCAAATCCAAGCCGTTGAGCATCTGAATATTCTTCTCCGACACCTTCAGAAGCTCCGTGACGTCTCCAGAATCCTTGAATTGCTGTCGCCATTCCCAACGATTCACCTGAAAAAATATATATATTTAAAAAATCAGAATTTTAAAGATCTAACTATAAAGTGATTTTCAGCAAAAAAAAACAAATTTTTTTGAATTTTCTGATTCGAAAAATTTTTAGGTTTTTAACTTGCTCAGAATCAAAAACTAATGTCAGGTTTAGATTTCTCATCAAAATCTACACCAGAATGCATTTCCTGCGTCTCTAGCTCTTAATTTGAGCTCTTGGTTTACGGTAGCGCCGATCCGGTGCAAACACCAAACCTAACACCGAACCTCACGACAAAATGCACAATACGCTCAAAAACTATCTGGATAGGGGTAAAAAGATGTGGGAAACTCGAATTTTGTATCGAAAAATGTCTAAAACCTTCGAAAAATCGATTTTCAGGTCATTCTCACCTCAAAAACCTTCTCAATGGATCCCATTTGTCCTTGATCTAGCTTTTCCTCGAAATCCAGCAACAAATCCCGAATTTCAGTGTCCCAATCTATGTTGTAAGTGTCCGCTGGATCCGTCTCATCCGTCATTAACATCTCATTCCACGTCCCATCGGCTTCCATCGCTTCCGAGTCTTCTAGCATTTTCAGAAGCTCTGAACGATACTCCAGAAGCTCGTCGAGCAACTCGTTCTCTCGATTTCCACGTGGATTCAGCGACTTCAGAAGACGTTCGAATTGCTCACGATTCTTGATATAACAGAAGTTATGGGCGCGTCGGGATCCATGAATTTCACAGGTTTCCACGTCGCCAGAGCATAGGAACACTTCAGAATCCTCAGAATTTTCGAAATTTTGAGGATCGTCGATTTTCGATGCTTCGTCACACTCGACACGTAATTCAGAAGACGTTGGGGTTTCCACAAGAATCGCTGAGAGGTTTTCTAGGACCAGATAACGACGATAGGCTCTGTCGGAGCCTAGACGTATGTCGGAAACTTTGCAGTAGGTTGAGAACAGTTTGGAGGTTAGAGAATCCATTAGAAGCTTGAATTCCGACTTCTGGAGATCACGGGCGGTCACTATCTCGTCTAGGGTGAGGTTGGTGTAGGGAACAGCGTCGAGCAGAATCTGAAAATAAGAACGATAGGAGTTTCAGAAATCTAAAAGTTTTGGAATGAAAACCAATTCGAAATAGATTTTTCTAGATTTTCACATTTTCAGAAACAAGGATTTTCAAATTTTTCTCAAAAAATCTGCATTGCAGATGAAAATTGAAAAATCTGAAATTCCAAAAATTAAGATTTTTTGGGAAATTTAAACTCTCAAAAATTTCAAAAATCGAAAATTTGAAAACTGTAGAAAATCTGAAAATCCAAAATTCTGAAATTCTTGAAATCGAAAAATCGGAAATCCCGAAATTTGAGGATCCGAATTTTTCAGGTTCTTGATTTTTGAAAATTTTTTGATTTTAAGTTTTTTGTTTTCAGAGTTTTAGGTGTAAAAATTGCTCACCAAATTTCGCTAATTTTCAGACTTTCCAATATTTAAAATTTCGGAAAATTCTGGCTTTTTTGAATTAAAAAAATGTGATTTTCAAAATTTCTGAGCTTTTCAAATTTCCGAATTTCTCGATTTTCGGATTTTCAGATCCTCAAATTTTTTGGAAAAAAGTCTAGTTTCTTCTGAAATTCTAGATTTTTAGATTTTCTTAAACTGCTCATCTTCTCCCCAAATCTCCTTACCCCATCCATCTCCTCCTTATCAAATCGTCGTCCATCGATGAACGCCTTCAAGTGCCCCTTAAACTTCTTCACAACCGGCGACATCGTCGCTCCAGAATCCGTCTCCGATGACGTGGTGGTGACTTCCAACAGAAGACGTGACGCATTCGCCTCTGCCTCTTGCGCCAAATCCCACGCCTTCAATCGTTTTTGCTCTTTTTTGAGCTCCGCTAGCTCGATTTGTTGCTTTTCCATATGGCTTCTGAATTTTGAGTATGTGAGCAATTGATAAATCAACGTCTTCATAATTTCCAGCCGTTCAGACGGTTCCAAATCGAAAACGGTTTGTGTTCGAAGCTTTTCCATGATGTCCGGACGAGAATGTCTCAATTCAAATGCCGGATCCTCGTAGCCACGGAAGTTGCCACGTTGATAGAGACGGTGACGATGGGTGGAGACGCCTGTGTAGTAGCCAGAAGTGAGCAATATCAATCGGAGCACTTCGGTTAGTGTCATCCAATCCACTGGCAAGTGACGGACCGATTTTCCGTGGATTTTTCGGATTCTGGAAAAAAGCACTTTTTTCGGGGAAATTCGTTTTTAGGGTTTTCAACTTTTGAACTTGCTCTAAACTGAAACATTGCCAGAAACGTGCCAGATTCAGATTTCTCATCAAAATATACACCGAAACGCATTTTCCTGCGTCTCTAACTCTCAATATTGAGTGTTCAGGTAACGGTAGCGCCGATTCTGTGCAAACACCGAACCTTAAAACAAAATGCACAAAACGCTCAAAACCTTCAAAAAACCGCCTAGATAGGGGTAAAAAGATGCGGAAAACTTGGATTTTGTATTGAAAAATGCCTGAAACTTTCAGATAAAGAAGATTTTGACAAATTTCATTTTTAAGGTTCTCAACTCATGCTCTAACCTGAAAAACATTGTCAGATTCAGATTTCTCATAAAAATCTACACCGGAACGCATTTTTCTGCGTCTCTAACTCTCAATTCCGAATTTTCGGGTTACGGTAGCGCCGATTTTGTGCAAACACCAAACCAAACACCGAACCTTACGACAAAATGCACAAAACGCTCAAAAACTATCTAGATAGGGGTAAAAAGATGCGGGAAACTCGAATTTCGGATCGAAAATTCGTCTTCTTGGCAAATTTCTAAAAAAGAAACCGAAAAAATCTAGATTTCTTAGATTTCTACAATCGAAAACGGCATTTTTCTGGTCGGAATTTCATGATTTTTCAGCCAAAATCCATAATTTTGTCTCAAATTTTTTAGTTTTTCAGCCAAAAAAGCTTACCTAAAATGCATCTCACTAATCTCTCGTATACTGTCTCCGTGCGTCGCATGCACTGGATCACAATTCTGCGCATTTATCAAGTAAATCTCCTCTCGATTCTGAAAATCCGCCTCATCGCCGTCCTCCTCATCAGTGATATCCGTTCGAATCGTCAGCAAGACCTTCATCAAATCGGCGAAAGGAGAGTTTTGGGGATCGAAACATTTCATGGCAATGATAATATCGGAAAGCTGAATTTCGTCGGTGCCACGGACCTCTTTCAGTGGGAGAATCTCTCGGAATGAGGTGAAAAATTGAAGGATAAATAGGTAATCGGCGAACTCGTCGGTCGTCATCCATTTCGGAATTTCGAGCGACGGAAAACGTGGCAGAGGCTTGAGATCGTTACAAATTAGGTCATCCCGCTTCTTGTTGTACGCTGCTTTTTCCCGGATTTTTCGCTTTTTTTCTTCCTTCAAGGCTTCCCGTTCAACGTCTTTTTGCTCCTGGAAATAGAATCTTAAAATTTCAGAATCTTAAAATTTCGAAATTTCATAATCTCGGAATCCCAGAATTCCAGAATCTCAGAATTTCGGAATCCCCAGGATCTTGGAATCCCATAATCTAGGATTTTTAGAATTGGACAGTTTCAGAATTCTGATTTTTCGAGATTCCAGAATTACGGATTTTCAGGATTCCGGAATTCCAGAATCTCAGGATTCTAGAATTTTGAAATCTGCCAATTTTGAATTTTCAGAAAAAATATTCGGATTTCCGGATTCTCAGGATCTGGGAATTTCAGAATTTCAGAATATCAGAATCTCAGAATTTCAGAATATCAGAATCTCAGAAATTCCTATGAAACTCCGAATATCGGATCTCCAGAACTCCAGATTCACAGAATCTCAGAGTTTCCGAATTTCCGTGATTCAGCATTTTTGAGACTCGGAATCTCAGAATTTCGAACATTCTGAGTTCTAGAATTTCGGAACGTGAAAATTCTGGAATTCCAAAATCTAGGATCCTTAGAATCCGATATTGGTAAAATTCTGGAGTTTCTGATTCTCAGAATTTCAGAATCCAGGAATCTAAAAATCTCAGAATGTATTCCCTTTTTTTTTAAGTCTGAGAATTTACGCAGCTTGGAATTTCAGAATTTTGGAATTTCAGAATCTCTTCCAGAATCTCAGAACCTCAAAACATTAGAATCTTGGAATCTGCAAATCTCGGATCTAGAGTTTCAGATACTCGGAATTTCAAAATCTCAAAATCTTATGATTTCAGAATTTTCATTTTTGAAAATTTGAGAATTTCGGAATCTTACAATCTGAGAATTTCAGCATTTCGAAATTTCAGAACTTTAGAACCTCGGAATTCCGAAATCTAGGGATCCATAAATCTCCGAATTTGAAAATTCTGGATAGGGTTTCTGGATTCTGGATTTTCAGATTCTCAGAATCTCCAAATTTCAGAATCTCAAAATATTACGATTCCAGATCTTCCATTTTTGAAAATTTGAGAATTTCAGAATCTCAAAATTTAGAAAATTTCCGAATTTCCAAAATTTTAGAAACTAGAAATCAGCAAATCTCGGAATCTTAAAAATCTTAGAAACCGAGAATTTCGGAATTCTGAATTTCCTCAAGATTATAATCTCAGAATCTCATAACCTAGGATTCTTACAATCCGAGAATTCAAGTATTCTGAAATCTGCAAATCTTGAATTTTCAGAAATTCTGATTTCCGGATTCTCAGGATCTGGGAAGTCCAGAATCTCCAAGTCTTATGGTTCCGGAATTCTCTTATTTTTTTAATTCTGAGAATTTACGCATTTTGGAATTTCATAATTTTGGAATTTCAGAATCGAAGGAATCTCAAAATCTCAGAATATTAGAATTTTGGATTTCCAGATTTTGAGAATCTTGGTATTCCAAAATCTCAGAATCTCGGAATCTCAGAATTTCAGGATTTCAGAATCTCTAAATCTCAGAATTTCAGAATCTCGGAATCTCGGAATTTCAGAAATTCGGAATTTCGGATTCATAGAATTCAAGAATCTTAGAATTTGAAAATTCCAAAATCTCTCAGAATTTTCTAAAAATTTGAACATTCGGAAAACTGAGCAATCTATAAATTGCGGATCCAAATAGCTCGGAAAAATCTGAAATTGTGTCGTTCCTCTCACCTTAACCATCATCTTAAACTCTGAAATTTTCTTGGGGCTGAGCAATCGATCCTCCTGCTCCAAACCAGTCAAATCGATTCCGAATCGGCGAGCTTCATCGAAATAGAACGTCAAATCCTCCTGTTGTTCCTGAATTTTCGCCTTCTTTTTCTCCGTTTTCGAAGACGTGCTCGATCTGCGAACTTTCTTTTTTACTGGCTCTTCCGCAGCTGACGACGTCGAGGGGACCCAGGAGAGAGTTAGTGCTCCAGAAGACGTCAAATCGAAGTCGTCGAGTGGGCGGGGCGAAGAGACTTCTAAACGTTTTCTTGGTTTTTTCTCTGTCTGGAGAAGTGCTCGTTGTTCTGGAGTCTTTGGTGGACGGCCACGTGGACGGGGTGCTGGAAGAAGTTGAAGGATCAGAAGATCAGAAATTCGAAAATTCCGAAATTAAGAATCTGGAAATCATGAATCTAGAAACCTCACTTCTTGAATTTAAAACTAACGTCGAACCTCTTAAACTCAGATTTTAAGCTTAGCAATCACCTCGGAAATGGCTAAACCTAGATCATTTGAAGTGAAATTTGAACTATTTTCATGGCATTTCAATTATGACCATTTCGCAACCGGACGTTCCAGAACTAGTCATTTCGCAACGGTTCTCAAACGTCCGATTATGATCAATCCACCATTTCGCAGCCGGACGTTTCAGAACCTGTCATTTTGCAACCGTTTTCAAACGCCCTGTTATGAAATAATACATTTTTGTATGTTCAGTTTCTCGCTGGTCAGTTCTATAACGTTACGGTTACCAAATGATCAATCCACCAATTCGCAACTGTGACGTTTCAGAATCTGTCATTTTGCAACAGTTCCGAAACGTCCGGCTGCTAAATAATCAATGTTAGGACGTCGGGTTCTAGAACGTCTAGTTGCGAAATGACCAGTTCTAATATGTCTGGTTCTAAAAACTCCTAATTGCTAAATGTCCTGAATTCTCAGTTCCAAAACGATCGGTTATGAAATAGTTAGTTGCGAAGTGGATAGTTGCGAAATGGTCAGTCCAGTTCTGAAACGTCCCAAAGTCATTTTCAGCAAATTTTGAATTGATTTTCAAATTTCTAAATGCTTAAAAAGACTCACGAGCATCCGGATCCCTATCCTCTCTCTTCTGCCGTCTCTCTCCTCCTCCTCCTCCTTCTAGCCCAGATTTCAACAAATTCGGAATTCGTCCTCTTTGCAGCACCGGCGTTTTCGGGCATATCGGTTCGGCGCCTGACATTATATCCGACCACCAGAGACCGTCGACTTTATCCAAATATTCGTCTCGAATTGTGTATCGATCGGAATCCGGCGGAAGGTGACACGTGTTCTTCAGGAAGAGACGAATCTTTTGACGAGCACCAAATGTTTTGGAGCGAAACAACTTCTCATGCGTCACATTCTCCCTAAACCGATCCGCATCTCCATCAACAACGCCTTCCAATATCTCAACCGTATATCGAAAATCCTCCGGATTCTGTACAATTGGCTCCTTGATTCCCGGCTCCGCCTCCTCCATTTCCAGCCCATTACGATCCGTAATCCCCTGTTGTGTAGCGTGTGACGTCACGATTCGAGCCAGGGTCTTTCGAGATTTCTCCAGATACGAGACCTCTTCATTGTTGAAGTATCGATCCTTCATAATGTGATAAACATCGTTGACGAGCTCTTCGAATCGCCCACGATTCGTTAATTTATGAACAATGAAGAATACGGGAAGTTCCAGAGATTCCGGGAAATCCCCTAGGTCTCTTTCCGTCTCTTTTTCTGATGATTGGGCTTCGAAATAGGTTAAATTCGATTTTCGAGTCAATGCACACGACCAGGCAGTGGTGTTGAGGAGGATCATTCGAGCGAAGTATTCTCTGAAAAATGAGAAAAATGATTTTTTTGGGATTTTCAGACTTTTAGTATCATAGAATCTAGGACAATCACGATCTAAGAATCTCAGAATCTCAAAACCTAAGAATTTCAGAATTTTAAAATCCCAGAATCTCAGAATCTCAGAATCGTTGAATTTTTCGACTTCAAACATTCAAAAAATCGGAAAAATTTTAAGATTACAGTATTCTGAGAACTTTGAAATTTCGAAAAATCCAAAAAATCAAAATTCCAAAATCTTAAAATTCTGAAATTTGTGAAAAAAAGAAGAATTCTCAGAATACTGTAGTTTTAAGATTTTTCCGATTTTTTGGAAATTTTCGAGTTAAATTTTTAAAAAAATTCCGGGCCCTGAAAATTTTCTCTCGGCCCGGCCCGGCCCGGCGGCCCGGCCCGGGAACCGGGCCGGGCCGAAATTTCACAAGTATGTAAAAATCTAAATTTTTGAGAATTCAAAAATTGCAAAAAATGTTTTTCAGCTTTTTTTTTCAAAACTCTGAAATTCTGAAATTTCGGAAAAAAACATAAAGTTTGAAAATTCCCAGTTTTTCTGAAAATCTTAAGATTGCAAAAAAGCTTTTTTCTAAACTGAAAATTCCAGATTTTTTTCAGCCAAAGAATCACGAAAATCCAATTTTTCACATTCTTTTTCAGCCAAAAACCTACTCATGACTCAAAAAGATCTCGCCAGTCGGCTGACAATAATAGGTTTTCGTGTCGGCTGGAATTCCATTTGGCGGTGGTTTCGGAATGAATGGCTGCTTGTTGAGCAACGGCATAAATGAATAAAACGTCTGAAAATTCGGCGAATTTCAGACAAAAAATCTAGAAAAAATTCGAAAAAAAATAGATATAAAATGGGTGTTTTTGAGAGCTAAAACAACCAATTTAGAGTTGAAAAAATAATATTTGAAGAAATAGAAAAAAAATTACAGAATTTATAGGAAAACCTGCTTAAAAATGCTTAACTATCCATAATTAAATATTATAATAAAATGACATTTTCAGAAATTTCCAAAATTTTGAAAATTTTGAAAAAATCTAAAAATTGAGAATCTGATGTGTGAAGAAAGAACGAGATGGGGAGGTAGTGGAAAAATTGAAATTTACAAAAAAAAAAACGAAAAATGGGAAAGTGCGCTCTATTGAGATTTTTTGAAATTCAAAAATTCCGAATTTTCAAAATTTAAAAATTCCAAAAAATCAGAAATTTCGAAATTCAAAACACCAGGACGTTTTGAAACTGGCCATTTTGAAACTGACAATTTCGCAACCAGACAGTTTGGAACCGGTCATTTCGCAACCATTTTCAATCGCGGTTCTAAAGTAGTCCATTGGAACATTACCTTGTTCAAAACGTCGAGTTGACCGGTTCTGAAACGTCTTGGTTTCGAAATGCCAAAAATCGATGAAGAAGGTCTTGACATGATTCGAGATGAGCTAGATTTCATGATGATTGCTCAGCTCAGAATTTCAAAATCTTCAAAATTAAGAGAAATTTTCCAATAGTTTCAGGCTATTTTTCCGTTTTTCCAGCTTAAAAAATAATTAATAAATTTTCCGAGAAAATTGGCTGAAAAACCTTTCAGAAAATTCCAAATTATCAATTGAGCGCATTTTCTTTTAAACACGATTTTCAGTGTTTTTCAAATATAAACAGTAGGATGCTGAAGATTATGTCGTGCTGCCGCCGATTCCAACAATTCCATAATTTGATTTTTTGCCAACATTCGTGTGTGCTCTGGAAGTGTTCGTAGATCCGAGACGATCGATGCGGAGAACGCAGAGTCACCGTCCAGATAGACATTACTATTCGGTGCTCGTTTCTCGGGAATCATCATGTAGCTGTTCAGGGTTAGGCTGCAAAAAATAAGGAAGATTAGAGGGATTTTTAGGAGCTTAAAAACTTGAAAATCTAGAATTTCGGAGAATCTTGAACAGGCATAAAAACGCTAAAAATCATAAAAATTGGATCAAATCATACTTGTAAAATTCCGGGCCGGCCCGCCAAAGCCCGGGCCTGGGCCGGGCCTGAGGAAATTTTCAAGGCCCGGGCCCGGCCCGGTGTCAAAAATTCTGTATTTTTGAGCCAAATTTTGAGCTCTCAATATAATTTTTTCCATTTTTTTTTCGTATTTCGGATTGTTTGTCTGTCTGATCAAAAAAGATCGAAAAACTCGAAAAAAAATTTTTTGGTCGAAAAAAATCACATAAGGGTCCCCCTTAAGTGTTTTTTGAAAATTTCGAAACTAGTGAAATGACGGGCCCGCCGGGCCGGGCTTCCGAAATTCCGGAAAAAGCCCGGCATGGCCCGTTACAAGTATGGATCAAATAGTAACCAAATAAAGCCAATTTGAAACTTTTCTAAACGGTAAATTGAGCAGTTCGAAATTCCAGAATCTTGAAATTTAGGAATCTCGGATTTTTCAGAACATTGGTTCGGGAAACCTCAAACTTCCAGAAATTCAGAATTCCAGAATCTCAGAATTTCAGAATCTTAGGATATGGGAAATCTTGATTTTGGAGAATCTCAGAATCTTAGGATTTCAGAATCTCAGAATCTCCGGATTTCAGAATCTCAAAATCCCAGAATTTCAGAATATCAGAATCTCAGAATTTTAGAATTCCTGACTCTCAGAATTGCCAACTTCAAAAATCTGAGAATTTCAGAATCTCATGATTCCAGGATATCAGATTTCCATAATCTCAGAATCTTAGAATTTCAGAATCTTAGAATTTCAGAATCTTAGAATTTCAGAATCTTAGAATTGCCAACTTCAAAAATCTGAGAATTTCAGAATCGAATGATTCCAGAATATGAGATTTTCAGAATCTCAGAACTTCAGAAGCTCAGAATTTCAGAATATCCATGAATTTCAGAATATTTATGCCAAAGTCCCAAAATTCCAGAATCTGGAATTCGGGGATCGCTTTTTTTTTTACAGAACCTCAAAACGACAAAATCTTAGAATCTTAAAATTTCAGAATCTGATAATCTGGAAATTCCAGAATCTGGAACATGGGAATGTGGAATTTTAGAATCTTAAATCTTTCAAAATCTCATGATTTCGGAATCTTAGAATCTTGGAATTTCAGATTCCCAGACTTTCAGAAGTTCCGAATCAAGCAATCTCCAAATCTTACGATTTCAGAATTTCAGAAATTGAAAATCTGAAAACTTCTAGACCTCAGGAATTTCGGAATCTCAGAATCTCAAAATCTCATAACATCAGAAATTCAGAATCTCAGAATTTCAATTTTTTCGATTTTCAGCCATTTTTTGCCTTTCCCCCCTGAAAACTCACTCATCCTCCGGTTCAAACTCGGCATCGTATTCTGAAAGCACTCCGTCATCTGGATTGACGTCGTTCGATCCGCCAGGACCCTGTCTTTTCAGACTGCGTGCACATCGGGACATTTGTTCTGGAAAATGAGGATTTTTAGATTTCCAGATTTTTTGGATTTTTAGACTCCTAGGCTCATGGATTCTCAGAATCCTGAATGTTCAGAAATTCAGATTCTGGATTCTGAGGTTTTCGGATTCCCGAAATTTCTGGATATCTGGATTCCTAGAAACCTGGATTCTTGGATTCGTGGATTTCCAAACACCCAGATTCTGAGATTCTGGAATTTTCAGATTCTAAGACTCCTGGATTCTCAGATTTCCAGAATTTTCAAGCTTACGTTCATCGAGATGATGGTCTATCCACGACATATCCTCGTACATTTCCCACGTTGAGATTTCTGGAGGCACCATCGAATCCAATCCCTGAAAAAAAACTTTAAAATCATAGAACTGGAATTTTCAGACATTTCAGACAAAAGCTTTTGGCGATACTTGTAAAATTCCGGGCCTGAGGACAATTTCAAGGCCCGGGCCCGGCCCGGAAGGCCCGGTAGCAAAAATTTTGTCCTTTTGAGCCACATTTCGAGCTCTCAATACAATATTCTTCATTTTTTGTGCTTTTTGGATTGTTTGTCTGTTTGATCAAAAAATTAAAAAAAAACTCGAAAAAATTTTTTGATCGAAAAAAATCACATAAGGGTCCCCTCTTATGTGTTTTTTGAAATTTTCAAAACTTGTGTAATGACAGGCCCGCCGGGCCGGGCCTCCGGAATTCGGAAAAAAGCCCGGCCCGACCCGTTAAAAGTATGCTTCTGGCGGTTTTGGATGAAAAATTGTTCCAAAATTGGTCATTTTTGACACGAAAAAGCCTGAAACTGGTCCTGAAAAGCGCCAAATTAAAATAATTTCTGAATTCTTCATTTCTTTTGAGGCAAAAATTTTGGTCAAAAATTAGTCATTTTCAGGCTAAAAAACACCAAAAAAATGGCTCCAAATTTCAATTTTTGCATTTTTCGGGGATCAAAAAATGCCCAAAAATCAGTCATTTTTGACACCTGAAAGCCCAAAAATGGCTCCAAACCTACCGTAATAGTTCTCAGTCGTCTCTTCTCTCTCACATAGCGATCTCGATGCTTCTTCCATTGTTTGTAGATCGAATTCACGTTTCCCGGATAGTTGAGCTTCTCGATAATCAAATTCCACGCCTGATTTCGGCAGTCACCATGACGGTATTTGGGATCACGGGCGTCGTAGAGACACGGATGACTTTGGACTTCCTGGAAGAAATTAGGAGATTAGATAATATGGAAAATCGAAAATTTCAGATATTCGGAAGATTCGTGAGATCAGAAAATCCAAAAATTCAAAAAAAAATCAAAAATTCTGAATTTTTAACCTAAATGTTGAGCTGAGCAATCACAGAAACGGTCAATTTAAAATTTGAAACTTTTAAAAATTTCAAGATTACTATAGATTAGCAATCTCAAGTTTTTCTGTCACCGGAAAGTATCGGAACCGGCCGTTTCAGCACTGCCCATTTCGCAACTCAAGGGTGTGGTTTCAAAACGTTAGAGTTCTGAAATGTCCGGCAATGTCGTTTCGCAACCAGAAGTTTTAGAACCGGTCTTTTCGAAAATGACCATTTCGCAACCAAAACTTTTAGAACCGGTCATTTCGCAACCATTATCAATTGGTTGCGAAACAGTCCGTTGCGAAATGACAGATTCTGAAATGTGAAGCTTTCAAATATCCGGCAGTGGAATTTTCTAGAACCACTCATTTCGCAACTAACCGTTTCGCAACCAGACTTTTTAGAACCGATCATTTCGCAACCGCAACGTTTTGTAACTTGTCATGTCGCAACTAGACATGTCAGAACCGGTCATTTTGGAACCGAGACTTTTCAGAACTTATCATTTCGTAACCAGACATTTTAAAACTGGTCATTTCGCAACTGTTCAAAATAGTCAGTTGTGGGACGTCCGGTTGCGAAATGGCAGAACCGGACATTTGAAAACTGACCGTTTCGTAACCGTGACGTATTAGAAACGCGGTCATTTCGCAGCCAACGGCTTTGAAAAATCCGGCTTCGAAACGTCCAGCTAGGGAAAGGGAAGTTCTAGAACCGCTCATTTCGCAACAAGACGGTTTAGAACCAGTCATTCCACAACTATTCTCAACCGCGGTTCCAAATCTGTGGCGAAGCAGTCAATTGGGACATTACAGGTTCTAAAACGTCACGGTTGCGAAAAGTCTCGGAGCCTTGAAAACTGTCTAGATCTAGACGTTATTGAACCGGTAATTTCGTAACTATTCTCAAACACGAGGTGATCGATCCTGGTTGCAACATGACCGGTTCTCAAACGTCACGGTTGCGAAATTTCCAAGAAAAAAAAGCCCAATTTTGACCTAAAACCACCTAGAATTCATGATGATTGCTCAGCTCAAAATTCTCAGAATCTTCAAAACTTCGAAATCTTGAAAAATTCGAAAACCAACCTGAATGAGAGACTTGGCGAAATTCGGATCAGTAATTCTCTCCTGAACCCCATCGGCCTCCTTTCTCGACGGTGACACTTCGGCTCGATCCGTCATATGTGGGTCCAAAAAGTGCAAGTGCTTGAAATACTGCCACGACGATTTTTCCGGTCCATACTTTTGTTTTCTCTTCTCTTTTCCATATTTATCTCTCAGCTGCTTCCATCGAGCCGACAACATTCTCGGATCACCGTCGAAATTGAGTACCGAGACAAGACGAGACCACACACGATTCTTGTATTCCGTATTACGGTACTGACGATCCGTGTTGTCGAAAAGGCATCGAGAATGACGGACCGCTTCGATTAGACGCAAGTTGAATGTTGGCTCGATCATTTCGTCTTGGAAACGAGTGCCTGGATAGGTTCGCGGGATCCTGGAATACGCATTTTTGGCTCCGGGACGTTTCAGAACGCGACGTTTCGGAACCTGACGTTTCGGAGCCACGACGTTTCGGAACCCGATGCTTCAGAATCCGACGTTTCAGAACCCGACGTTTCAGAACACGACGTTTCGGAACCATGACGCTTCGGAACCATGACGCTTCAGAACCCGGCCGTTCAGAACTTTTCTGCATTTTTGTATAGTGGTTTTTGCACACCAAATGAGCATTGCTCATTTCAATTTTGTGTTTTTCTGCTTTTTTATTCATTCTCATCTACCGTACTCCTAATAGTGATACGTTCACACTCGAAATCTCTCCAAAAATCGAAAAAAATTAAAATTTTCACAAACGATGTCTAGAAGTACGCAAAATTTTTCCGGCTAATATCAGTCTCATTTTTGCATACTTTTAGTAATGACACCGTTTTTGAAAAATTCAATTTTTTCGATTTTTCGAGAGTTTCCGAGTGTGAACCTATTTGGAGTACGGTAGATGAGAACGAATGAAAAAGCAGAAAAGCACAAAATTAAAATGAGCAATGCTCATTTGGTGTGCAGAAAACCACTATACAAGAATGCAGAAAAATTCTGAAACGTCGGGTTCTGAAACGTCGGGTTCTGAAATGTCGAGTTCTGAAACATCGGGTTCTGAAACGTCGTGGTTCTGAAACGTCGGGTTCTGAAATGTCGAGTTCTGAAACATCGGGTTCTGAAACGTCGTGGTTCTGAAACGTCGGGTTCTGAAACGTCGTGGTTCCGAAACGTCGAGTTCTGAAGCGTCCCGGAACTTTCAGGAATTATAAAATCTTCGAATTTCTAAAACTCAGACCTTTAAAAATGCAACAAAAAAAACGATTTTTTGAACGAAAATCAACCAATTTTGGCTAGAAAATTGTCTGAAAATCAGCCTCATTCTCAGAATTTTCCGCTCATTTTTTCCCAATTTTCAGAATTTTCAGCTTTTCTTCCGATTTTTGAAATTTCAAAAAATTTCAAGCGTATTTTTCGATTTTTACTTTATTAAAGCGATTTTTTGACTGAAAATTCAGAATTTTCAGTTCTTTTTTGCTCAATTTTCTAGTTGCTAAGCCGAAAATTTCCGCTATTTTTCAGCCAAAAAACCACTTACATTTTCAAATCTCTTGGCTTGACGTCTTCGTAATGATGATGGCGATGATGATAATTATCGCCTCCTCCTCCGTCGTCGTCTGCTGGACTGTAGTACATTACAAAACTGCAAGTGTGAATTCACTGGAAATTGGATGAGAACTTTCAAATAAAATCGAAATTGGTTGAAAACCGAAAAATTGAAAAAAGAGAGAAAATGAAAATTTGAATGAAAAATTGCATATTTTTCGGGGTAAAAATCAAAAATCAACAAAAATTGCGAGCAACAACAACAACAAGACACCTAACAATTAAATGAAAATTGGGGGTTTTAAAGGGCAAAAACGGGATTTTCGAGGTGAAAAATTGGCAAAAAATGGACCAAAAATGACTGAAAATACCCCAAATTAGGTTTTAGGAAGAAAATTAGAGCAAAAATAGCAATTTTTGAGGTGAAAAAAGGAGATAAATTGGCAAAAAAATGGACAAAAACGGACCAAAATTAAGGTTTTTTCTGGAAATTTCCAAAAGAAAAAAGGGACTTTTTGAAAAAAAAAATCATGAGAAAATCAATAAAAACTAGATATCTGAGGTCAGAAATTGGCAAAAATAGCCTAAATTGAATGGAAAATTGGCAAAAAATCAATCGAAAAATCAATTTTCTGGAAGAAAATTAGAGCGAAAATTGGAGATTTTTGAGGTGAAAAAATTAGATTTTTCTAGAAATTTCAAGACCAAAATTGGCGAGAAATGAATGAAAAAAAAACAACTTTTTAGCTAAAAACTTCTGATCGTTCCAGAAATTTTCAAAAATTGGCAAAAAATGGACCAAAAATGACTGAAAATAGTCTGAATTGAATGGAAAATCGGCAGAAAATCAATCGAAAAATTTGGAAGAAAATTAGATAAAAATGGAGATAAATTGGCAAAAAATGGATCAAAAAATCCAGAAGAAAATGGGATTTTTTGAAAAACATAAAACAGGAGAAATTCAATAAAAACTAGTGGAGTCCTCTCGGGGGAACAATAATCGACTCCTGGGAAAAATGTGGGCGTGGCCAATTTTTAGTCATTTCCAGCCAAAATTTCATGAAAATTTTGAATTTTTGATCAGTTTTCGGCTCAAAGTTCGCCATTTTCTCGAAATTTCCACCTAAAAATTGAACAAAATCAGAATTTAAGCTTCAATTTTCGGCTTTTTCGCTGCTCCTTTCTTCTGATTTCTCTCATTTTCGTTTCGCCGACGATCCAGCTGTCCTCTGATCTTTTCCAATTTTCGTTTAGAACTCGTCACTCGTCGATTCTTCATCTCATCCAGATGTCGATCGACGTCTTCTTCGTTCATTCCCTGAAGAGAAAAATGTGTCAAAAATTGGATTTGTTGGTTTTTTTTTTTGGCGGGAAATTTGAATTTTTTCCACTTAAAAATCGGATTTTCTATGGATTTTCAAAAAAAATCGCTTAAAATTCGTCTTTTCGGCGGGAAATTTGAAAAATTTGCTCGATTTTTTTGTGTCACAAAAAGCTAATTTTCTGAAAATTTCAAAGAATTTTAATTGACTTTTGGCCAGAAATTCCGATATCTTTCGAGTTTTTTTGGGGGGATTTTGTCGGGTCAAAAATCAAAAATTTCCAGAGTTTTTGGCCGAAAATTCCGAAATTTTTCGAACTTTTTGGGGGGTTTTCGGGTCAAAAATCCGATTTTCCGACATTTTTTTTCGGGAAATTTGGGTTTTTTCGAGTCGAAAATTTGCATTTTCTGCGATTTTTGAGCCGACTTTTACTCAAAATGATCATTATTCGAGTAAAAAAATGACTCAAAAATTTGATTTTTCACAAAATTTCGAGTTTCAAATCCATTTTTTACATTTGAGCTTTTTGGTGTCAAAAATTTTGGTTTTTACCCAAAAATAATTTTTTTCAAGAATTTCAGTTGGATTTTCTGGCCAGAAATTTAAAATGTTTCGAATTTTTTCTCAAGAATGTGAGTAATTTTGGCCAGAAATTCCGATATTTTTCGAGATTTTAGGGGGTTTTTGGGTCAAAAATCGGATTTTTCCTAATTTTTTTGGCGGGGAATTTGAATTTTTAGGTCGAAAATCTGGATTTTCTGCGACTTTTAAGTCGATTTCTACTCAAAAAAATCATAATTCGAGGCAAAAGTGGGTTTTTTCGAGTCGAAAATCGGATTTTTTTGAATATAATTTTTTTTTCAGGTCGAAAAAATTGAATTTTAGTTGATTTTTTTGGACAAAAAATGCATTTTTTCGGGTTTTTTGGGTCCAAAATCCGATTTTTCGACATTTGAGTCTTTTCCAGTTGGAAATTGGATTTTTAAATTGGTTTACATTTCAAAACCATCATTTTTTCCAGTAAAAATCCATTTAATGCCGCGTTACAAAAATCAGTGGTCTAAAATTCCTTACATGGCCTACGAACCCACAAATTGCTGACCTAGGATTCCTTTTATGGCCTAAAAACCCAGAAGTTGATAGCCTAGATTTCCTATCTATGGCCTAGAAACCCGAAAATAAATGGCCTAAG